TAGTACTGATATTTGGAAACATGATCTAATGTGAAAATTGTTATATTCATGTGATTTACTTTTTAAAGAAGTAAGGTGATTTGTGTGGCTGTCCTTTTAACTGTACTCTCATCATACGTAGATTTTAGAAGTAATAGTTAGTATCATGTGAATATTTAGTTACTAGATGTAATCTTAAATTGATTTATTCTAGTGATAAATCTGGTAATGGTCTAAACATTTTAGAAATTTGAGATTGAGAAATGTTGCTTTGGGGAAAGGTTAGAATTAGTTGTTCAGGTCAAGCTACCTGAAATATCAGCTCATGGTTTGCTCAATTGTAAACCTTTGAGCATTCATTTGTGAGTGTAACTAGATGTCTAGGTAGTATGGCTAATGCTGGGAACAGTGACACAGTGGCACAACCCTACATCTATCAACCTCCCTGCTGTACTTTCATAATGAGATAGTCTGATGATTTGCTCTTATCTGATGCCAATATGTAGTTCTTCGAAAGGGAAAATAATCTCAATGGGACTGTTGCCATGGGTTCAGTAGAATAGTAGTACTTTATCTGCATTGCCTTATTATTTGCATAATCCATGGTTAATGCAGGTTTGAGATTCCATTTTTTTCTTTTGGCATGTTGGAGTGCATCGTCATTAGGTGCTTCAAGATTTTAGGTGTATTAGGTAGCGTCTAATATCTGGTTGCTAAGAGAGGTTTGCTGGGCATATCTTGTTTAGCTCCCATCGAACAATAGAATCGAATGATAGGGAGCAATAGCAGTTCTTAAAGGTGCTACATTGCTGTGCGTACAAAAAAGAATAAGGTTGAACGAAAAGTGAATTCAACATCAAGAAGTTATGACATTAACTACGTTTTTTCGGGGTGGTTGGAGTAGGAGGTGGTAAGATTGGTGCAAGGAGAGCCTAACAATGTAAGACATATACTTCCTTGAGCTATGTCTCTTAGCTTGTGATGCTGCTAAAAAATCGGGATAGGCACCCCGGTTTTGGCTGGCCAGTAAGAAAAATCAACCAGCCAATTAGGCTTCTAGGCATCCAGAACGGCTCTCCTTGTGTAATATTGAGAACAAAATAGTTTTTTAATAGGAATAGAACATTGAATGTTTGAGTAGAAGGCAATTAGGTTTCTAGGCATCCGCCCGCCTAGCGCCTAGCGCCTTTTGAAACATTGGTTTTGATAATTAGAATAGTACACCAGTAATGAAGTCAACTGATAGCTCACAATGAAACATGGTTAGCAAATTGAGATTAGAATTGTCAATCGGAAGTACCTATTTTCAAATCATGAATATCGTACTCCATCTTACTATGAAAATGAGATATACATAATATATATTTTGATAAGTAAAAAGTAAAAACACATGAAACAAGCAAAAAACATAAGTTGATATAGCAAGTCATAAAGTTTGTGGAGACATTTTCATAAAATGAAACCTTAATGGGAGTCACGTAGAATTGCACTAATAAGCGTATCAAACTCACCACTGCAAATTGCCCTGAAGGACTAAAATAATATCTTAATCTGCCTGTCTTCCCAGTGGCAGTGCCACGGAACCATATACCATTAAAATGCACTTTTTTAAAGGCACAAGGGAGGCATCACTTAGTTAGGCAGCTGCCCCCACCACAAACATCTGGTCACAAATTCCCTGAGCTGAAAGAGTGTGAACTGTTTTTTCTTTCTCGCAAATTGAGGGACGAGAGAAAAAGTGCAAAGAACTGGTTTAGAAGGGAGAAAAGTACATTAAAAGATGGAAGTACATGAGATGAAGCCATAACCTTATAGGTGGATTCTCTTGATTTTATGTTTCCATGGTTTTCCAAAGGTCGCCTGAAATCTGTTGTCAAATGATTCTCCATTGTTAGCTCATCATTATCATAATCAATATCATTACCCTAGTGCCGCAAAGGCTCCCACCCCTGTACTAAAGCACAAAGACTCTGTTTCCGGATGACCCATAGTGAAAATAGCGTCCAAAATTGCATGGACTGACTGTTGCTTTATAATAAAGAAGCGCAGAGTCATTTTGCTTTATTCCATCATATTCTCAAGCCAAAAAAATTGAGTCTTTTGCTTTATTCTTCATTGTTAGCTGTTAACCAAAAATAGATACTATGTCCAAGACCATATAAGAGAGCAGAGCAATAATGGTGAGAAGGGTTCTATGTTTCTATATTTACAAACAGTGAAATAGAGGCTAACCTTAATAAAGTACGGCTGTTTTTTTGTTTCAAAGGTTCTGAATGAGCAGTTTTGGAAGGAATCGTTGTTACTAAAGTAACATACTTTGGGAAATTTCATATAGTATAATAGCATTGCCAACACATTCCCCCAATTTTAGGTTCATAAGCAGTGTCCATCTCATTTCTGCTTGAGTTATACTGTATGACTTGAAAATGTAACTAAACTCACTCTTTAAGATTGTTTAACAAAGTAGTGCATCTTCTTGCAGTCCAAGAGTGCTAAACGTAGGCTGAGGAAACCTGGTACGGTCCCTTTGGCTTACGCAAAAGTGATGAAGAAGCTCAACTTTTCTGGTTGAATAATCTGGATTATCATTCTATGCTGCCTCCAGTTTGGCAGCTTTTCTTGCAGTCCTTGTTCGTTCCCATTTTTAACTGTGTAGGGAAAACATGCTTGTTTACTCAATTTGAGCAAAGTGATCACTTCTTTTCAGAAATTGTTCTGGAATTGCAGGATCCATTAGAATGGATGTATACTACAAAACAATGGTCTGTAGTTCTGTTACATGAGTAATCATTTATTTTGCTTCATCATCAATAACCCAAATGAGAATTGCCAGGCCCAATCCTGTCTGGTTGATGCCACATCACCCCTTATTAGCACTGGTAATGTGTCATTTATGTAATTTTATAATGTTTTGTTTGCTGGTTAATATTTTCCCACGTAATCATAATTATTACCTTTCCGGTGGACTTTATTGACAGGGTAATGTTATTACTCTTATTGGCTTAATATGCTTTTAAAAGGCAAACACATTGCCTTTTGTTTCAGGTTCATCCGTTCATGGGATTTTTTGTTTTTCATAGTTATAACTTATATTGTTTATCGTTTTAGTCCCTTTCTGACATTTTGTCAATCTCCCTTTGCAAAAAACTAATGTGATTACAAAACTTCAATCTTAGTTTTTCGTATCATTTTCTTATTTTAAAAATACTTGATATTTTATTTCTGGCTTAATACACAAAAAAGTAGTGTCTGATAGCAGCAACACAATCAATCTATTGTATTTGTAATTCTCAGATGTTATGTGTCGATTTAGAATCTGTCTAATTACGTGTATTAAGATGTGTCTAGGGATATGCTCTACATTTAGAGGTACATATAGGGGTGGACTCGGGCCGGGCCAACCGGCCCGGAACCGGACCGGCCCGCTACTGTGCGGGCCCGGACCGGCCCGGTCAACCGGTTCTTGACCGGTTCGGGCCACCCGGCCCGGTGGTATAGCGGTCCGGGCTCGGGCCTCCATTTTAGTGAACCGGCCCGGCCGGGCCGGACCCGGTTCGGGCCTCCAACGGCCAGATTTTAAAAAAAAAAAAATTTTTTTTTTTTTAAATTGGAAGAGGCTCTCCTAGCCGTTGGGAAGGCTCCCAAACGGCTCTATAGCCGTTGGGAGCATAGGAGGGGGGGTCTGGGGGGTTAGGGGGGTGGGGTGGGGAGTCGGGTGGGGGTGGGGGTGGGGGTATCAAAAAAAAATCTATTTAAACTCCTATTTTCTCTACATTTTTTACATCTCTTCTTCTACAACTCTTCCTACTCTCTAATTCTCTACTCTAAATCTCTCATATTCAATCATCTTCATTCTTCATCTTCTCCAAATTCTTTCTACATATATATAATTTATATAATTATTATATCTACTTATATATTAATTATCTATTTAAAAATATATACTTATACACATTCATATTATAATTCTTTACACATTATATATACTATATAAGTATATATACTATACACATTCATATTCACTTGATATTTAGTTATTATCCATACTATTGTTATTTACTTATATTTACATATTACATTTAGTTAATATATACTTATATATATATATATTAAAGTATTAAGTATAAGTGTATTACTCATCTTATAGTAATATACTTATATATTATATACTATAAACATTATATATACTATATATACTTATACACATTCATATTTATTTGATATTTAGTTTTTATACATACTATTGTTATTTACTTATATTTACATATTACATTTAGTTAATATATACTTATATATATATATATATATATATATATATATATATATATATTAAAGTATTAAGTATAAGTGTATTACTCATCTTATAGTAATATACTTATATATTATATACTATAAACATTATATCATATATTACTTATAATAGTAGTTAATTGTTAGACTTCTAATTTATCTATTAAATTAGTTAATTGTTACATTTCTCTACATTTCTCTTTAAAGAAAAACATAGTTAAAGTAGTATATTTTTACATTTGTCATATTTCAATTAGTTAAAGTACTTAATTGTTTCATTTGTCATATTAAAATTAGTTATTTCATACATTGCTCATTAAAGTAACTAATAATAATATTAGTTAAACTACTTAATTGGTACATTTTTCATATTAATATTAGTTACTTGCTACATTTCTCATTAAAGTAAAAAAAGTAGTACATTTTTTCATTTGTCATATTAATATTAGTTAAAGTATACATTTCTCATTAAGGTAAAAATAACTAGTAAATTTTTACATTTGTCATTTTAAAAACTACCTAAAGTAGTTAATTGTTAAAATTGTCATATTAATATTAGTTAAACTACCTAATTGTTACATTTCTCATATTAATATTAGTTGATTTGTACATTGCTCATTAAAGTAAAAAAAAAAACTAGTTAATTTTTACATTTCTCATATTTATATTAGTCAAAGTAGTTAATATTTAGTTAATTGATACATTTCTCATTAAAGTATTAATTAGAAGTAGTTCGATTTGTATACTCATATTTTAGTTCGAATTCGCAATAGTTTTCTTAGTCACATTTTATTATTACTATTGTACTCATATAAAATATTTGATATCATTTAATATTTGTTCAATTTTAAAGATGGAACGTGGTAGACATTCTGTAGATGTGGGTAATCTCCAACGCAACTGCAAGAGGGAGATTGCGTCGACTCGTCCTAATTCACGCAAAGGCAAAGGTAAAGCGCGGGCCGAGTCTTCTTTTCAAAGTCGAGATGATTTTGAAACGGATTACCAACGGAGAGATGATATGATGATGTCCGACGAGCATCTACAAAACCTATTGTCCCAAAACGATCCACGCTTTGCACAAGAACAACCCATCCCGACAACCATTGATGAAGAGGAGCTCGAGGATGACGATGCGGAGGAGGACGCGGGGGGCGACGGGACTCACGGCACCCCGGATGATGAGCAAGACTTGGAGGACGAGGGCGGTTCAACCCAAACTGGTAAGAAATCTAAATCTCCTATTATTGAAAACAATTTTACAAAGAGGAAAGACAAAAATACCGAAAAATGGTACGCAAGTTGAAATCATTGCGGCAAAGAGTATAGCTTGGGAACTTCTGGCGGATACGGGAGTCTCACAAGGCATCTTAAATCCGCCCATCTTGTGGAGTATGCGAAAATAGACAAGGGCAAGGGGAAGCAAACACAAATATCGAGGTTTGCAAATTCTCAACCCTTTGGTAATTTCTCCTATGATGATCAAAAACATTTGACTGGTATGTCTCATTTAATTGTTGAAGAAAATTTACCCTATATTTTTTCCGAAAGTCTTGCTTTAAGAGATTATGCTCAAGGCACTTTAAATCCTCAATTTAGAAATTATAGTCGCAAAACGATTAAAAAAGAAGTTATAAGGCAATATAACTTCGAAAAAGAAAATTTACAAACATTTTTCGCAAACTTTAATGGACGTGTTAGTATTTGTAGCGATATATGGGAGGATACTTATCATCATTTATATTATTTGGGTCTTACTGCACATTATATTGATGATGATTGGAATATGCATAAACGTGTTCTTGCTTTTCGTGAATTCAATGATCGTCATACTGCTGATAATATTTATATTCTCATTGAGCGTATTTTAATTGAGTATAATTTGCTTGATAAGGTGTTTGCTGTAGGTTTTGATAATGCTAGTAATAATACTGCTACTATACCTAGATTGCATTGCGTGAATTGTGTGGTGCTTCTACATTGATGGGTAGGTTTTTTCATCAACGTTGTGCATGTCATATTCTAAATTTGTGTGTACAAGATGGATTAGCGGCATTAGGAAATGCTTTGGAGGTAGTGAAGGGGGGAATTAAATTGATTTGGGCTAACACTCCACTAAAAATGCAATGGCGACAATATTTGAAGGAAAGACGTGTCAATTATTGTGCTTTTCCTAAAGATTTGTCTATTCGTTGGAATAGTACTTATAACTTAATTCAAGTACTTATTAGATATAAAGAACATTTTCCTGCTTTTTTAAGACAAACTTGTAACTATATTATAAACCCGGCTGACATCGACACTTGTGAAAAAATTGTTAATGTTTTGGTATATTTTAATAACGCAACTCAAACTTTTAGTCATGTTTATAAACCTACCGCAAACGAATTTTTTGTTGAAGCTGTTAATCTCGCCGGCGCATTTTTAGAATTTTCCGATGCCGCTTACGTTAGTTATTTTTGTGATTTCATGAAACAAAAATTTTTAAAATATTATTCACATGTTCCGCATATATATGGTATTGCATTTGTTCTTGATCCTCGTTATAGACTTGCCGCGTTGCCAAGTTGTATAGATTACTATTATAATTGTTTTTTTCCAACTCAAGAGTTCGATGATAATCCCATCGACCCTAAACAAGAATACAACGAGGTTAGTAATTTATTTCATCAATTGTATAATGAATTTTATGCACAATATGGTAATGCACCCCCTCCCATGCCGCGAACATCTTCTTCATCTAAAGGAAAATCACTTTTAAAATCTGCATTTGGTTCTCTTATGAAAAAAAGTAGAGCAACTCCCGCTACTGAACAAAGCTCAGTTAACGAGCTTTCTATCTATCTAACATTGAATGTTGATTATGAAGTTGGGGATGATTTTGACGTTCTTAAGTGGTGGAAGGACAATGAAAGAACGTTCCCGGTTTTATCAAAACTGGCTAAGCAAGTGCTAGCAATGCCGATATCAACAGTTGCCGTGGAACAAGAATTTAGTGCGGCCGGCAACGTCCTAACTGATTATAGAACGAGGTTGAGCCCGAGCTCTCTTGAGACGCTAGTTTGCTTCCATGATTGGTTGAAGGCCAAACGAAGAACTCAAGAAATGACCATCGCTCCCACCCGCCACTTTATGGAGGAAACAACCACCGAAGGCGGAGATTCCGGTTGATTTTTTATTTCAAAATGTATTACATATTTTAAATGCATCCTAATTCTCAATTGTACTTCTTATTTGAAATAAATATACTTGAATTATTTTATATTACTGTGTACATCAATTCAATAATTCAATTCAATAAAATTCATTTGTAAACTTGTACTTCATATGTAGCACTTCTCAAATTAATTAATTGGTTACAATTTTACAAACTTATAACTTACAACTTGAAATTATTTTTGTAAAATCTAAAGGCTGTTTTTAAATTAAAATATGTAATATTAATATGTAAATTAATTAATTTGTTACAAACTTACAAGTTACAACTTATACACCTATTTTGTAACATTTGTAAATTATAAATCAAATCACATTTCTAAGTAAAAATAGTTTTACTTAATTAAAAAATTAAAAACATTTTCCTTACACAATATGTATAATTTTCTAAATCATATCACTTTCCTTACACTTTTCTAAGTAAATTATACACAATATGTATAATTTTCAAAAAAAGAAAATTAAATCATTTTGAAGTGGGAGATTGCTCCCAAACGGCTATATAGCCGTTGGGGCTTAGGGTGGGGGGTGGGGGGGGTCGCGGGGGTGGTGGGGTGGGGGTGGGGTTCAAAAAAATCTATAAATACATCTATTTTCTACCATTTTCTACACCTCTTCTCCAACTCTTCTCCATCTTCATCTTCTCTTATTATCCTACATTTCTACTTATACATCTACCATTTTAAAGATGGAAAGTAATTTTTCTGTTATGCAAAATAACTTTGACAAGTGGAAGGATCCGAAGACTGGACTGTGGTGAGCAACTTGCAAGTGGTGCAAAAAAGAGTGTTGCTTGGGGCGTTCACACGGAGTCGGGATGCCAATGAAACATATGAAGTCATGTGACAAAGGTAAAACAACAACCAACGGTGGCGGAAATCCCAATTGATATTTATTCGAAAATGTATTTCATATTGTTATTTTTTCCTCAATTCTCAAATGTACTTCCTATTTCAAATAAATGCACTTGAATTTTGTTTTTCATAACAATTATTATAATTATATAGTATAGAATATAAAAAAAAAATGAAAAGGACCGACCCGAACCGGGCCCGGCCCGTGAACCGGGCGGGCCACCCGGCCCGAACCGGACCCGGGGTTACCCGGGCCGGTTCCGGGCCTCCCAAACCGTGAACCGAGGCCCGGCCGGTTCAAGGCCCGAACCGGGCCCGGCCCGAACCGAGTCCATGCCTAGGTACATATAGAGGTAGACATAAAAATGGGTTCCCCAAGAAAATGGTAGGCATAAAGTGGTCAATTATCTAATACTCCCTCCGGTTTTTAATAAACTTCACACTTTCCTTTTTGGGACGGTCTAAAATAAACTTCACACTTTCATATTTCCTTTTTTTGCAAAGAAATATACATCAAAACAGTGTCAAACAGTGTCAAACAATGTCTCAACAGTGCCAAACAGTGTCTCTACAATGCCAAACAGTGTCTCAACAGTGTACTCTACAGTAAAGTCAAATTTCTTTCCTTATTTTGTGTGAAGTCAAAGTGTGAAGATTAAATAAAACCGGAGGGAGTATTAGATTAGACAATTGTGAAATACTTACAATTTAAAATGATTGATATATATATATTTAAAGTGTCCAAAAGTTGCTTCTCTCAAAGAGGTGTAGGAATTTCCGGGCTTCACCAAATAGGAACTTGGTCCTGATTGGGATCGAGACCGGGACACCGGGTCCATGCCCACTGGGAAATACAGAGTATTGACTATTTTTCCAACAGGATCAATAACCTCTGACAAGTTCAGTCATTCAAAGGCTTGGTTTGGTGGTTCAGAATGAGCTTGCATGATAGTCAAGGGCACACTTGTCGGTCGTCACCAATGGAGTCGGAGGTTGTGGGTCCATAGAACCCATAATTTGAGCGTAATATGAATTTTGTAAAATAAAGAAACAATATCAACTATACAATACATATTGTATTGTGGTACCCCAATAAAATAAGTAAAACATTCATTTATTACAGATGAGTGTGAGCTTGTGAATATAAATAGCTACCTTGTTCTTATTATTGATATTATAAGTAGATACTTCAACATCGAAATATAAGTATCAAATAGGTACTAAATAGTACACTACATGTATGTAAGAGCTAGCTAGCTTGCAGATTATGATCTAAGTGTCTTCATCATCATCATCATCATCTCTTTGAAGGTAGTTCATCACCATATAAGAAAGAATGTATAAGCGCCAGAGCCTCACTTGGCTTATCGAGAGGCACGAGATGACCTGCCCCCCTCACCGTCACAAGCGTGATTCCTTTGTACTCAACTATCCTTCCTCCTACCTGCACCATGTTTCTAATTACCTCAATAAGCAGCTTTGGAGTTGTCAAACACAAAAGGCTCAATTTGTTGGAAAGCTTGCCTGCTGATTGTGGAACCAAGAGCGCCATTGGGGTTTATGAGAAGAGTGCTTATTTAGAGCTTCTATCCAATATCTTGTCCCAATAGCTGGTACTCTTCCATCAGCATCCCCACTTTTTTTCAAGGACAAATTAAACATCAAGCATGTTTAAGTCGTGGGATTTATCTCATAGTTGTGTACTCAGTAATAAACAAATATATGGTAAATTTTGTTTTAAAAAGGCATTAAAATTGATCCAGTTATTTGATTCTTTAGGTTGCAGGCTCCGTTGATTTTGTATGTAAAAGTGGGGGAAATCTAAAAGACTAACTAAATATGGTTTGTTTTCCTTAGTATGAGTTATATGACTATAAAAATTAACATGATCGCACAAAAATAATGAGACAAAAAACCTTTTTCATTCTCTATGATTTAAAATTACATTCGCCATGATAATTACTATCATTGTCACCTGGTGTCCGGGCCGTCTTTTCGAGGAGGGGGTCCTTAATTGCAAATATGCACTATGTATTAATTAGTTACACGGTCAAATTTACAAGTTAGTAAAGTTTCAAGACAAACAATGGACAAAACCTAAAGTTACGAGACCAACTCGAAATGATTAGGACAGGAAGGGTATGACTTTTATATTTATAGATGTCTCATAAAGATTAAAAAATAGGCTTCTTGAATGGGGGAGCGGCGAAAGGGAAAACCCTAGTTGTTTCTTATCTCTTTTCTTCCTCAATTTTTTCTTTTCCTAATATGAAAAAAGATCTCCTTAGCCGGTATTTTCATGTTATTTTATGTGTTGCCTCCTTATCGACGTCTAGGGTTTGTATATTCCTTGTCGATGGAACTGATCGGGTGGTGAGATTTTATTATTGGTGATTGGCAATGGTTGTCGTGTTTTTTGGAGGTTAACTTCGAAATTCAAGTATCAGCGACTCCAAGACCTTAGTTATTTGCATTTCTCCTAAAGCATCACCATGCTATGAGAGAAAGATAGCGTTCAATTGAATTTTCTTTTCAGTGTAGGTCAAACCGGGAATCGGAGAGACCATATTTTCAGGTATTCCTTGTTGGAAGATGGTGAAATCAATTCATATGTTTGTTCCTATCACATAGTAGTTTTAAAACTTTTCTGGTCTTGATTATTGGTTTGTAGCATGAGCTTCTAGATTGATAGAGACTGCATCTCTACGGTGTTAGTGAATTGTTATGTTTTTTTGGAACTTTTCAGTTGCATATCTCATCTCATTATAGCCGTAAGCTATTCATTCAAAATAAAACGGAGTAATTAAGTATTTTCCATTCATAAATACTCCAAAAAATACTGTGTATACGTCTTACCTGTAGATCCAAATTCGGAGTCCACTTTTGATTAGCTTTTTATAAACGGGCAGTAGGGAGAAGTCAGTGTAGTTGTATCCCTTAAGTATTGGATCGCTGAAGAGAAACGTGGGATACGAATATTA